CACCAGTCCAATCATCATCATCAAATGAAGAGTTCCATGGAAGGAGGGCGAGCTCCGGTCTCGGGAGGGGAGTCCAGCCTCCGATGCATTGACCACATCTGACGATGAAAGAGAAGCCGATCCTCGGGCTTCCTCACACCGACAGACTGGAGGACGGGCGAATCACTTTCGCTACTTTGGGGCCGTGTTCCACATTCGCACGCAACTCCGAAAGATGTCCCCGAGACATCCCGATTGCCATGGCAACCTCATCAACACGCCGCTGAGATTCGCCGGAGCCGACGGCTGGCTGGTCCTCAGGTTGGTCGGGCTGCTGGTCTTCCTGGGCGCCGCCTCATCGTGCCCCATAAACTGCGACTGCCACAGCAAGACCAGCCTGGTACAATGCCACCCATCATCCCCCCAGGAGATCCCAGAGGATTACCCCCACTGGGTCCAGAACTTGTCCATCACCAACAGCAACATCCCCATCCTCCGATCCTCCACCTTCCGGAGGAACGGAACAAACCTGCACAACCTGACCACCCTGATACTGGTCAATGACAACCTGCAAGCCATAGAGGCCAGGGCATTCTCCGACCTCCCCAGACTCACCACCCTGGACATGAGCCTCAATGCCCTCCGCAACCTTCCAGGTGAGGCTTTTGCTGGATTATCTCACCTCCGAGTCCTGAAACTGAACCAAGCCCTCGGAGAACCAAGTCTGATCTTCAACCTTCCATGGACTCAGCATCTGCGGAGCCTCCAGACTCTTGAAGTATCCGGCAATGGTCTCCAGAGCTTCCCCTTGGCTTTGATGGACCTGGAGAACCTGCAGATGGTCCACCTGGGAAATAACTCCATCCAGAGACTGAGTGAGGAGGAGATCTCAGTGCTCAGAGACAGGAAAATCCGAATTTATATGAGTCTGAACCCCTTTATCTGTGACTGTAGAATCAGGGACATGGTTTATTGGCTCCACAATTCTTCTCAGACTTTGGACGCCCAGAACCTCAGGTGTTCGGAACCTCCAGACCTCAACGGGTCCCTGGTCTTCAATCTCAAGGTGGACTCCATGAAATGTAAAAATGAGGACCTGGAGACGGCCTCCTATGTCTTCTTTGGGATAGTCCTGGCCCTCATTGGGGTCATATTCCTCATGGTCCTCTACCTGAACAGACGAGGGATTAAGAGGTGGCTGAACAACTTTCGGGAGGCCTGTAGGGATCAGATGGAGGGCTATCACTACCGGTATGAGCAGGACTCCGATCCCAGGAGGTCCAATGCTTCCACCGGGATATGAACTGCAAATGATTCCAATGCACAGAGGAGATAAAGTCATATCACAGGGACTGAGGTTCAGATCCGCACCACCTGTCAACATTGGGCTGAGGAGCCTTAAAGGGTATGTCCTTTTTTTGTCTTGGATGGAATGTGGAAAGGGTTAGAGCCTCTGCCATATTTTTTATTGATGTCTGTGTCCCCATAGGAGAGATTCACCCCTCTATCTGTCCTGGTGACCATTGTCTCCCCTCTATCTGCCCTGGTGACCATTGTCTCCCCTCTGTCTGCCCTGGTGACCATTGTCTCCCCTCTATCTGCCCTGGTGACCATTGTCTCCCCTCTATCTGTCCTGGTAACCATTATCTCCCCTCTATCTGTCCTGGTGACCATTATCTCCCCTCTATCTGTCCTGGTGACCATTGTCTCTTCTCTATCTGCCCTGGTGACCATTGTCTCCCCTCTATCTGCCCTGGTGACCATTGTCTCCCCTCTATCTGCCCTGGTGACCATTGTCTCCCCTCTATCTGCCCTGGTGACCATTGTCTCCCCTCTATCTGCCCTGGTGACCATTGTCTCCCCTCTATCTGCCCTGGTGACCATTGTCTCCCCTCTATCTGCCCTGGTGACCATTGTCTCCCCTCTATCTGCCCTGGTGACCATTGTCTCCCCTCTATCTGCCCTGGTGACCATTGTCTCCCCTCTATCTGCCCTGGTGACCATTGTCTCCCCTCTATCTGCCCTGGTGACCATTGTCTCCCCTCTATCTGCCCTGGTGACCATTGTCTCCCCTCTATCTGCCCTGGTGACCATTGTCTCCCCTCTATCTGCCCTGGTGACCATTGTCTCCCCTCTATCTGCCCTGGTGACCATTGTCTCCCCTCTATCTGCCCTGGTGACCATTGTCTCCCCTCTATCTGCCCTGGTGACCATTGTCTCCCCTCTATCTGCCCTGGTGACCATTGTCTCCCCTCTATCTGCCCTGGTGACCATTGTCTCCCCTCTATCTGCCCTGGTGACCATTGTCTCCCCTCTATCTGCCCTGGTGACCATTGTCTCCCCTCTATCTGTCCTGGTGACCATTGTCTCCCCTCTATCTGTCCTGGTGACCATTGTCTCCCCTCTATCTGCCCTGGTGACCATTGTCTCCCCTCTATCTGCCCTGGTGACCATTGTCTCCCCTCTGTCTGCCCTGGTGACCATTGTCTCCCCTCTATCTGCCCTGGTGACCATTGTCTCCCCTCTATCTGTCCTGGTGATCATTGTCTGCCCTCTATCTGCCCTGGTGATCATTGTCTCCCCTCTATCTGCCCTGGTGACCATTGTCTCCCATCTATCTGTCCTGGTGACCATTGTCACCCCTCTATCGGTCCTGGTGACCATTGTCTCCCCTCTATCTGTCCTGGTGACCATTGTCTCCCCTCTATCTGCCCTGGTGACCATTGTCTCCCCTCTATCTGTCCTGGTGACCATTGTCTCCCCTCTATCTGCCCTGGTGACCATTGTCACCCCTCTATCTGTCCTGGTGACATTGAGAAATTGAGGGAAAAATCCCAATTTGTAGAGTTGTCCTGAGAGCCGGAGTGGAGGAACCACCCAATCTGGTGACATCTGCCTGTGATGGAAGTTCCCCTCACTTTGGGTTGATTTCCTCCCACTTCCTGTTGCATCTCCAAGACAGGAAATCCCCCAGGGGGACACAGACAGCCAACCATAGCCTGACAGGGGGGTTGAACTCTTTCCTACTCCATCCAAAACTAAAACAAGACACGTTTGGCCATCAATACACATTATGGGATGTTGGTGCGGGGAGGAATATGGGGTCTGCCTTTGCCGTCTTCCTAGTGAAAATGCGCATTGCCTGGCTGTCTCTGGCTCCCCCACATTCCGAGCCGTAGACTTGTAACAAGCAAAGTCAGAGGTCCTTATAATGCAGAAAGGATTGAAGCCATTGGATGAGCCTGACAGCCAGGAAACGATGGTCAGGCTGGTTCAGGTCAATGTAAGTGTGGGAAAGGCATCACCTCTCTTCTCCTCATGGCGCTGTCCACGGTACACATGCAGTGTCATATATGGAGACGAGGATATGGGGAGCCTTCTGGTCTGTGCAGACTGTCATGGAGGTCCTTATAATCCGGGGGTCAGGGGACGGGAGAATTAAAGGGGCAGCGTTGATTAGC